CCTAACTACTAAACTTAACGTACGTACTAACCCTACCCTACGGTACGGTCGGGTCCGGACCGTTAACCCTTAACCCTAACTACTACCTACCTCTCTCTCTCTCTCTCTCTCTCGCTCTCTCTCTCTCTCTCAGATAAGAAGCATGAAAGATTGGATAAGCCAGTACCTGCTTGAGAAAATCCAGAATGCCTGTGGTGGTGCTGAAAAATAAGAAAAGTAACATGAAAAATAAGACTGAGAAACATAAGCATAAAAGCCCATTCTTTCTTCTCTTACTAATTTGTAATAAGGAATAAATTGAAAAGAAAATGCCCGTCTCTCAAAAAAAAGAAATAATGAAAAACAACTCATTGCCCAGTCTCAAATAAATGAAAAAAATACATATATATCTTTCAAAACATTACCCGAGCAGCAAATGCATAAATTGTAAATGAATCAATAAATACAAGAAAAAGGCAAAATATTTGCAGAGCTGATCTCCTCATTTTGCTTGATGTGAAGACCACTGAGGTTCATTGCCATATTTATAGGGTTAGAAAAAAGATTATTTGGTTCACAAAAATTGAAAGAAATATAGAAAATTTACCGACCATTTATTTATACTTGTGTGTATATTTATTATTCTTATTGCTTTTTAGGTTGGGTGCAGTTTGTCTAGTGGCGAGGCTCTAAACAATCAAATTAGATCCCCCTATCAAATAGTATCGAGAAAAGTGGTTTCAATACTGAAAATCTTTGTAATAGCCTTAAAATATATTTTCATCTTTAATTATAAAATTTAAAGCTTTCAGAAATAGTGCAGATCGAGCATATTATGAAAAAAACATAAAAATTGACGGTCCAAAAATGCGTTACAAGATGCACTATTTCCAAAACTCGAAATCCATTTTTTTCTCATGTCCATGCATCTTGATGTGGAGATGATCAACTTGAAGATATTTGGGCATCAAAACAATCTCTTATAATGAAATTTTGTGGTGGGCTCCAATTTGATTGTTTAAAACCTCGGCTCTATATATAAACTCATACCTTTTAGGTTAGAATGAGGAGAGATGCAGCTTTATGGGTGGGACTTTTAATTGGTTGGTTGAATTCTAAAGGTTTAGTGAGTTCGTGAGGAGAGACAACGAAATAAATGTTTAGTGGGAACAATAAAATACACCCCATAAGTGGACGTAAAAGTATTTATTAAGGCAGAACCTCCGTTAATAGGGTTAGCTATGGAGAGCTTGGCCCTAAAAAAACTAGGGCTTGGCCAAAATGTGGCCCAAGGGTTGGGCCATGGCCCTGCCACCACAGCCCAATGGACTTGCTTAGGGCGGGCTTCGCCAGCTCTGATTTTCCCTTATTTTTGTTTTTTTTTAAAGCTTGGGGCACTACCCTACTAATGAAAATACTAAAAAAAAACTAAAAAGAAAAATCAAAATTTTAGTCGACCGTGAGGTAATTTTGAAATAATTAAAAAAAGTGAATTGACCGACCATCTTTGTAATTTCTGCCTATAAACGAGGCATTTTGTATTTTACCTAAAATTTTAGAGTCGGTACATAAATCACTCTTAAAAAATATAGGCTTAGCCTGGTTAGGACGACAGCCAGAGTGAGTGGTCCGTGCCAAGTCGGACCTTAGGTTGGGCTCGGACCAAGCCCAGCCCTCTGCCAACACAATTGATGTCATGAATGTGAATATGAATATGAAAAAAAAAAAAAACATGATTTCAAGCGTTATTTCAGACCTTGAACTCTTATAATATTTTTTATAGACCTTTATTTTAAATTTTCACAAATCTATCGAATTTGCACCATTTATTGAACTTCAAATTTTGCATTCAGGGGCAAAATTGGATTTGCAAACTAGCAAAAGGTTTTCTGGTATCAGATGACTCCTTCTGGTGGGATGTTGAGGGAGGTGTGCCCTTTCGGGTGAGGTTTATATAAGGTGTCAACCTTAAACAATCACGATAAGGTGCACGTCAAAATCTCGTTACAAGATGTATTTTCGGTGCTGAGACTCTCATCATGGCCTAAGAGTCTAATTTTCACCGCTATTATGAAATTGAAAGCTCTAAAGATAGTGTAGATTTAGCAAATCTATGAACATTTGAAAATCTTAAAAATGAAGGGACTAGATAGTGTGTTACAAGATTTACTATTTCTAAGACCTAAAATTCATTTATTCTTTCATTTCAATACATATCGAGGTCAAGATGATCAATTGGAGAATTTTCTTGCAACGAAACAACATTCTGTGATGGTTTTTGAGGTGCACCTTACTTCTACAGTATATAAGGTTGACACTTTATATAAACTTTTTCCTCAATATAATGTTTAAATATATTTATGTATGGGTGCGGTTTGTGTAGAACCGAGGTTCTAAACAATCAAAGTAAAGCGCACATTCAAATAGTATCAAGAAATGTGGTTTCAATACTAAAAATATTCTAAAATATATTTTCATCTCTAATTATAAAATTTAAAGCTTCAAAACTAATGTAGATCGAGTAGATCTATGAACACTTGCAAATCTTGAAAATTGACAGAACAAAAATGTATTACAAGATGCATTATTTCCAAAACTAGAAATCCATTTTATTCTCATGTCCATGTATCTTGATGTTCAGATGATCAATTTGAGGATATTTGGACATCAAAGCAACCTCTTCTAACGAGATGATTCGTGACTCATGTTTTATTATGTCCTTAAATGGAGATGACTCATTACTCATGCTTATTATGTCCTTAAATGGAACAACAACTCATATCTACCATCCATTGAATGATTGGTATATGGCTAGTATGTTTATCCGAATTCCATACATATCCTATGTTGGTGCATGTGTGGCCATGGGACCTCATATGTGCCAAATAACTTTTTTGCTATTTATCTAATTAATGTTTTTCTAAAAATATTATGTATTAATTATTATTTATTATTAAAATATTTTTAGATAGAGAAAACTTATTTTCCAAAGGATAGTAGATAATTTCCCTATCTCTTTGATATTAAAGGCCACTTCCACAAAGGAAAGCCCAAAGTTGGAGAATGACCTCCTCGCATCACTCTATAAAACAGGGTTTCATGGTCATGGGAAAAGATAGAGAGAAAGAAAAACTATTCACAATCATTTTGGAAAAACGTTGACTCTCTGTGATATACAGTCCAACGATGCTGCCCATCAATATCTGGGATTTTTGGTGGTTTTTTCATCTTTTTCTTCCAATATCCTATGTGTTGCATGCAAAGTGTAAACTAAAAATTAAAGGGGGATTTGGAGGTGTGGTGAGAGATTAGATTGTAGTAGTGATTTTTTCTTATGCTGGACCTTTGGGTGTTAAAATTGCTACTTGTGCAGAGACGATGACTCTTTTTCATGGGCTCAAATTGTCCGCGGCTAGAAATTTTGGCATGCATTTTATGGTGGAAGGTGATTCTCTTAATGTCATAAAGTAGTGTAAGTTGGAGCAAAAACCACCTTGGGAACTCCGGTCTCTTTTGTTGGAAATTTTGGACTTAACTAAACCTCTCCTTTGCTCCTTTGATCATGTCTTTCATGAAGCCAACGGTTTGGCAGATTCTCTTGCCAAATGTGGAACCACTGTATTTGAGATTTTAGTCTCTAACTCTGTAATTTTTTTTAGTTCCTTATCAATAAAGCTTTGAACTTCTATCAAAAAAAAAAAAATTTAAAGGGGCAAGTATATCATCTATATCATGTGGACGCTTGAAAGGTGCGGAATACCTTTTCAATGGTTCAAATTGGATTTGGGCCCATCCAAGTATTACAAATAAATGTTGTTTTTATCTTTTCTATAAACTATATTCACGTGAAATTTGCAGTATGCATGCATCCCTACATAGCACAACAAATAAAAATAAAACCAAATAATTTAAATAAAAATAATCAAAATACCCTTGAATGTGTTTAAAGATTTTTTTATTATTTTTTATTTAAATTATTTGCCCTTTATTTTTATTGCGTGTGCCGAGTAGAGATTCATGCATCCCCCAATTTTCATGTGAATCTAATGTATAAAAAATAAAACTGATTTATAACCCTTGAATAAGCCCAGATCCAATCTGAACCGTTGGAAAGTACTTGCGCATTACTATCCCCGAATCTAAGATGGGCCAGTCTCTTCAGTTTTATTAAATTATCATCCCTTTGTTATTCACAACAAAGAATTATACTTTGTCACTTTTGTTTTTTTTACTTGCAGTGTTATTATTGCATTCGGTGAATAGGTTGAATACTGGGAACGACTATTGCGGTGCATTGATTTGTCGAGAAATAACCAGCAGTTGTTATTGAAGTTCTTTGGTGGGTGGGGACGGTGGATAAGAGACTTTTTGGAATAAGGCTAGATAGTAAATATGTAGGGTTGGCAGCGGGTCGGGTTGCGTCGTGTCTGTGTCAGTGTCGGTATCGGTGTTTGTGTCTGTGTCTGTATTTGGTCGGACCTAAATAGTGTTCGGGTCCAAGATTTGAACGTGGATCTGACCTATCGGGTCTCACTTTTGGACCCATACCCAGACTTGGATAGGGTCTACTCCTCAGTTTCTGGGTCGGGTCCGTGTCTGACCAGACCTAAATAGTATTCGGGTCCAAGATTTGAACCCGGACCCGACCTACAGGGTCTAACTTTTGGACCCATACCCAAACTTGGATAGGGCTACTCCTCAGGTCCTGGGTCGGGTCCAAGTCCATTGCCACCCCTATAAACAAGCAAACCATGAGGAGCATGTGGGTGTGAGGCACTACTTAGATGTCTTGTTTTCTCGTAACAACAGGACTATGGTTATCAAGACCAGATTAGCCTGGCTGGTTTAGTCGGTCGGGTCGTTAATTGTTGTCTTGGCCAATTTAGTTTAAAGTAAAAACCGGTATTAGTTGAAAAACTGGACAAATCCAATATTTGATTGGTTTTCACTAGACCGACCCACTTCATTTGATTGGTTCGACCAACCAAATAAATATTGGCAATTTTTTTGATGAAAACAGTATATATAGGGTTCCAACCTAAAAATGTCGAATCAAAGTACACCTCAAAAATCCATCAAAAATTGTCGTTTTAATGTTGAAAGCCCCTCTAATTGATCATCTCAACATTGCGATACATTGGGTCCCAAAAATAGTGTATCATCTCAACATCGAGATATATCGGGTTCCAAAAATAGTGTATCTTACAACACATTATCTGGACCGTACATTTTCAAGATTTTAATATGTTTATAGATTTACTTGATTTGAACCATTTTTGAAGTTTAAAATTTTATAATTAAAGATGAAAATAGGCTTTCAAACCACTCTAAGAATTTTGGACACCAAAATTACTTGTTACAATAAAATATAGACATGAACTTTAATTTGATTGTTTAGTGTGGCAACCTTATGCAAACCACTCTTTTTTAATATATCTATAATTTTACAATAATATTTTTATTTTTATTATTTTAAATTTGATCCAACCGGTTCAACTAGTAGTTA